ACTACCTAAAGCCTTTTTTGACATGAAAGAAGATTGGGAATTGAGGGATTATTGGCGTGAACGCAACCTAGAAGAAAGGGATTTTACCTTCTTCTCAGATAGACACCAATCTTTTTCAAGAATTGATTTCTTTTTGATTACAACAGACTTATACAACAGGGTGAAGAATGTAAAAATTTTTCCTAGGACATTGTCTGACCATAGTCCAGTATGGATGGAACTGTTTGCTGAGAAAGAAGACAGGAGATCCTGGAGGGTGAATGAGAATTTATTCAAACAAGAAAAAAATGTTCATAAATTAAAGGAATGTTTAAAGGAATATTTTGCTTTAAATATGAATAAGGGAACATCAATGTCAATGGTGTGGGATGCAAGTAAAGCTTTTATGCGTGGTATTTTGATAAAAATGAATAATCTGCATAGACAGAAACAGACTCAGAAACGTAAAGATTTAGAAGAGGAGATTAAATTAAAAGAGAAACTTTTAATTTCAAATCCTTTAGATGAAAAGGTGAAAGGAGCTTTAAAACTGTTAAAAACACAATTTAACATGTTGATGGCTGATCAAGCTGCAACCAATTTATTATTTATGAAACAAAATACATTTTGTAATGCTAATAAACCAGGGAGATGGTTGGCTTATCAGTTAAGAAAGAAACAGAAACAGAGGAATATAGATAAAATAAATTATAATGGTAAATTGGTTTATCAGAAAGAATTGATTAAGAAATCTTTTTAGAATACTATCAAAAATTATATAAGAGTGCCAATATTCAAACTACAGATATAAACAATTATTTAGGTAAAGTTAACTTTCCTAAATTAACAGAAGATCAGGAAAAAGAGATTAATGGCTTAATTACTAAAGAAGAAATTGTTACAGCTATTAAACAATTGAAATTGGGCAAAGCGCCGGGTACGGATGGGTTGACATCTATCTATTACAAAACTTTAGTAGAAGAGATGACTCAACCATTGTGTGAATTGTTTAATAACTTATTACAGGGTTTAGAGATCCCTCCATCTTGGCGTAATGCATTTATATCATTGATTTCAAAAGATAATCAAGATCTTACATTGCCTAAAAATTATAGGCCTATATCTCTTTTAAACGTGGATTATAAAATCTTTGCAAAAATTTTAGCTAATAGGTTTATGGGGATCTTGCAGCAGTTTATACATAAGGATCAATCGGGTTTTATAACTGGAAGGTATATGAAAAATAATGTTAGACAAATTATTAACTTATTAGAGTATCTAGAAAAGAATAACCAAGTCTCTGCAGGCCTGATATTTTTGGATGCTGAAAAAGCCTTTGACCAAGTGAATTGGCAGTTTATGTTATGTTTAATTAAGGAGATGAATTTTGGACAAAATATATTACAAGTATTATCTAATATATATCAAAAACAGACTGCTCAACTTATTGTAAATGGGGGTTTGTCAGAGGCTTTTGTAATAGAAAAAGGAACAAGACAGGGATGCCCGTTATCTCCGTTATTGTTTGTTTTAACATTGGAAATTTTGTTGATTAAAATTCGGGAGTCTCAAGAAATAAAAGGAATAGAAATTAATAAAAAAGAATATAAATTAAGAGCCTTCGCAGATGACTTGGTTGTTACTTTGTCTCAACCTACCTGTTCGGTGGTAAAATTATTACAATTGATTCAACAATATGGATGTGTTTCTGGTTTTAAAATTAATAATAATAAGACCAAAATATTAGCTAAAAATATGACTAATGGTGATAAACAGGTTTTAGTTAACTTAACAGATTTTGAAATTGTTGATAAGGTAAAATATTTGGGGGTCACATTATCTGCTTCTAATGCAAAACTGTATAAAAATAATTATGAAAAGCTGTGGATGGAGGTACAGAAGGATTTAAAAAACTGGAACAATCTACAGTTATCCCTTATGGGTAGAATTGCAGTTATCAAAATGAATGTCCTGCCAAAGTTTATTTTTTTGTTTCAAATGTTACCTATTTTAAAGAATGAACGTAATTTAGATGAATGGCAAAAAGGTATTAATAAATTTGTTTGGGCAGGGAAAAAACCAAGGGTGAAACTTAAAATAATGCAAGATTTTCGTGAGAGAGGAGGACTCAAGGTACCAAATATGAAATTGTATTATGATGCTGTAGTATTAACATTGATCAGCGACTGGGTGAATTTAACAAATATAGAAATACTTCATTTGGAAGGTTGGGACTTACTTTTTGGATGGCATGCCTATTTAATATTTAATAAAAAAGTGGATTGGGTTTTCAAGTCTCATATTATAAGAATCTCTTTGCTTAGAGTGTGGAGAAAGTATTATAAAAGTGACTTCAAAATACCATTATGGGCTATACCTCGGCATGCCATAGAAGGTATAAGGAAAGGGGTTAATATGGATATGGTCTCTTATGTACAGTTACTTAGATGGGATGGCCAAGATTGGCAGTTAAAATCTTTGGAAGAATTAACGCATGAAAATTTAACTTATTCATGGTTCCAATACAGACAAATAGTGGACAGATGGAAGATGGATTGTAAAATGGGCTGGCTTAGAGAAGATGAAGCTCTTTTAAAACAAGTAAGAGATCAAAGGCCAACCCATATTAAGAGAGTTTATGGGGTTTTAGTGGAATTGGACTCAGAACCTGAATTAGTTAAAGATTGTATGATTAAATGGGCACAGAATATTGGTGAAACGATTTCAATGGATACCTGGGAACTTATTTGGATAAGAAATGTTAAATTCACACAAGCGCAAAATTTAAGAGAGAATTTTTATAAGATGTTTTATAGATGGCACCTTGATCCAAAGAAAATGTCCATTATGTACCCTAATCTGCAGCCGAAATGCTGGAGATGTGGACATTTGGATGCTACTTATTATCATACTTGGTGGACGTGTAAGCATATAAAAGCTTTTTGGATTAAGATATGGTGGAATATCCAAAGAATTTTTAAACGGAGGGTAAAATTTACTCCGCAATTATTTTTACTAGGTATTGTTACTGATTGTGATGCTAAGGAGGTTATATTGATGTTAAATTTGATTACAGCCGCTAGGCTGTTAATAGGGCAATATTGGAAGAAGGAATCCTTGCCTACTTTGCAAGAGTGGTTTCATAAAGTTTCGTATTTGGCAGAAATGGCAAAGATTTCGGCTTTTTTAAAGGAGCAATCTCAAGAGAAATTTTTTGCAGTATGGGAAAAATGGATAAATTTCATACAATATAATTTGGATATGGAAAAATATCATTTAGCTTTTTTATAACTTGTAATGATTGTTTTTTCCTTCTTTCTTTCTTCCTTTTTTCTTTACGTATTATTACTTATATATTTTTTTTATATATATATGTTCTATTTTTCGTCTACTTTTTTCTTTTTTCTCTCTCTCTCTCTTTTCTTTTTCCTTTTTTTTCTCTCTTTCTTAGTACATATTATTCATTTTAAAGCTTATGTTATGCATATTATTATTATACATATTATTATATATATTATTATTATGATCTTTATTATTTTTGTTAATTATCTTATAAATTGTAAACGTTATTTTTTAAAATTTGTTAAATAATCCTATATTCAGTTCTGGGAAGTCGGGGGGGGAGGGTGGGGTGGTTTGGGAGGGGGGGGGATGTTTATTTGTAAAATTTTTGAAAAATTTCAATAAAAAAAAAAAAGAAATCAAAGGAAAAACTCGCCGTAGGAAGAACAATGGGACGAAGGAGGATTACAAAACAAACATGAAATGTGTATTACTACCCGAACCCGGGGGGGAAGGGTTAAAACATAGGGACCACCATAATAAGAGAGATATTTACCCATCCACCCTAAGACCAAGGGAAAGAAGGATGGATGATGATGAACACGCAATTGAAATGAACAGGAAAGAACAGACCATTTGTGCGCAGTCATACCAACCGGGCCCGATGACGAGGCTGAGGAGTCGTGCGCAGACTTTGACATGCCTTTAAAAGTGATTCTCTCACTCCCTGGCGCATTAGCCCTGAGGATGCCGGCAGGTGACGGCGAAAGCTAGGCGCTTTTTAATAAATTTTATAGTTTTTATTATCCTGGTGATCATTTTATTTCTTGCTATATATATATATATATATATATATATATATATATACACATACTATATATATATACATATATATATATATATACATATATATACATATATATATATATATATATATATATATATATATATATATATATATCCTTGAATTTGATAGAAAATTGCATAAAAGGACATCTAGCATGCCGGAAAGAAAAATCAAGCTTTGTTTGATAATGAGGGCAGTGGAAAGGTTAATTTCCTTAATTTTCTTTGCTTTTTATAAACTGTATTCAGTTTATAAAAACTTAGTGTGTCACTACTCAAGCGATAAGCTAATGATCACACACTATTATCTCTCAAAATGTAAAAAAAATGTGGTTAAGGGTCACTGTGTTTAAGGGATTTTTTTTATCTTCCTTTTCATAATTAGTATTAAGAAAGCTGATCATTTTTAAGAGTACTGGAAACATTCTATTAAAACATAATCAGTGCTGAAAATATAGAAAAGCCTCACTAATGACTGATAACAATTTCACTCATCTAAAGAAGGTGCTGCAGTTTTTCATAATTAAGAATTGGCATCAGCCACTTAAGAAAGCTCTGATCACCAAGTATATTTAAGATACTTCAAGAAAAAGCAAAAAGAATGTCACAAAAGCTAATACAATTGCTTCTGATGTAAAATAAGGTTTTAGAAATGTAAAATAAAAAGCAGAAATCCAAATATTCAATAAGTGATTAAATATAAAAACTGATTAATTGAACTGTAGGAATGTTACATTCATCCTATAAATCATGATATAAGTGAGACAATAGAAATTCTTTAAAAGTAAATGTCTGCTTTAGCTTTAGTTTTCAGTAAGAAACTCTGATTTCCTTATAAATTATTGTATAAAACAAAGCAAGATTATAGGAATTGAAAAATTCTTCACATTTACCTTTAATCGGAAGCATACTAATCCCAGTATGACATCAGAACAAATTTCAAATCGATCATCTTGTAGCACCAAGTCCTTAAATTCATGTGCTATCCTAACATGCTAAAACAATAAAGAGAAGTTATTTCATTTATTGAATTGGTGTTCATCCAAAACATAAATAAGAATTGCAGAATTGGAAAGAACATTCTTTCCACCTACGCTTTTATCTGCCATGCACCAAACATTTTACGTGTGTATTTCCATTTTCAATCAATCTGTCAGCTCTGCCTGTTTCAGCTTGGCACCTCACAGACATCCTGCCATCAAAGGCTAGAAATGGGGGGGGGGGTTTGATATAAGGGCAATAAACTTGTGTATGTACATGAATGAGAAATAGGGAGGGGGGAATGACAAGTGATAATGATCAGACCAGACCAGATCCAGTTAGTACCAGCATTATTGTGTAGTGGGTTTTTGGAGGCATTAACCAGACCAGTCTAATACAACATGATTTATTGCAGCAGAAACAGAACAGAACGTAACCGACAGAATGACTGCTATTTATACTTGCCGCCTCTAGGCGGTGACCAATCAAATCATAAACTGTTTTCCCCCTCAAACTTAAACTAAACTTTCCCTCCAAAACAGTTAGAGACACATTTGAATCAAAACACATTAACTCTGATATCAATACATAACAACCCTTCCCCCTGGATAAAGTGATTTCTTGTATGCTTGATGCACATAGTCTTTGAGGTAGACCAGTGGGTTGCGAGTTCTACTGGAATGCCGCAAGGGTGTTTGGGTTTTCATCTTGACTTGCCAGTTGTCCGCACCAGGTAGACCTGTGCCGCTATATCTGTTTGAGTCATGTGATGGCAGAGGCGATAAACCTGTTCCACTATGTCCATCCGAATCATTTGATAGCAGAGGCAGTATACAGATCTGTGGTGCCTCTGTCTCTGTAAGCACAATCTCGGCAGGTGTGGGTGATGCTGGAATAGCAGCTTCACCTGGAGTGTCTACAGTCCTTTTGACATCTGGTCCTGAACTCAGCTTTGTCTGCCAATGCCTCAACTGGTCAATGTGGCATTGGATCACATGACCATTGTCCAGAGCCACCTCATATGATAGTGGCCCTGACACTTTAGTAATGGTAGCAGCCACCCAAGGTGCCCCCTGCCCATAGTTCTTAGCCCAAACATGCTCACCCAGCTGTAGATTCCTGGGAGGCTTGGATTGCAGCTATCCTGTCAGGGTGGAGGTGGTCTAGCTTTGTTGTGAGCCAATGTCCCCACCTTAGTTCAGCTGGGCAGTGCTTGGAGTTGTATGCTGGCATAGAAGAAAGTTTGCCAGGTGATGATTCCAGTCTCCCTTAGTCAGTCTTTTAAGGGATTCTTTGGTGCACCTTACTATCCATTCAACTTCACAATTGGAAGCTGGATGGAACGGAGCCGAATTGGTGTGTCTAATCATGTTAGCATTAAGGAAAGACTGGAATTCCGCTGCTGTAAATTGTCCCCCATTGTCAGACACTATGATGTCTGGCAATCCATGTATTGCAAATAGCCGGTGCAGTTCCTGGATGATCCTGGAAGCAGTCATAGATTGGACAGGTACTACCTCTAACCATTTTGAATAACTGTCCACAACAATGAGGAATACCTGTCCCTGAAATAGACCCGCAAAGTCAATGTGCCCGTGAGACCATGGGGCTCGCGTGGTCTTCCAGCGGTGCACACCTGGGGCTTTCTGGATGGCAGACCTGACAGCTCCTTACTTGAGCCTCAATGTCCTTGTCCAGGCCTGGCCACCACAAGTAATTTCTTGCAAGTGCTTTCATTCTTAAGATGCTTGGATGTCCTTCATGCAGAGATTCTAACACTCTGGCTTGCAATTTGGGTGGAACAATCACTCTGCTTCCTCACAGCACACACCCTTTGTGGGTTGACAGCTCATCTCTTCTGCATGCATAGTGGCAGACCTGACAGCTCCTTACTTGAGCCTCAATGTCCTTGTCCAGGCCTGGCCACCACAAGTAATTTCTTGCAAGTGTTTTCATTCTTAAGATGCTTGGATATCCTCATGCAGAGATTCTAACACTCTGGCTTGCAATTTGGGTGGAACAATCACTCTGCTTCCTCACAGCACACACCCTTTGTGGGTTGACAGCTCATCTCTTCTACATGCATAGTGCTGAAACTCTGGACCTGGTCTGTTTTCTGGCCACCCCCTCAACACTCAGTTGAGAACGCAGCTAAGTGTTCTGTCAGTGGCAGTTTCAGCAGCCAATCTCCCGCATGTAGGGGTGTCTCTGGAAGATCCTGGATTGCCAGGATGCAAGCTGCTGGGGCTGGATCTGGATCTGTGTGTGGCAGAGGCAGTCAGCTGAGAGCATCAGAATGGCCCATTTCCTTGCCAGGCTTATGGACTAACCTGTATGAATAGGCAGCCATAAAAATTGACCATCACAGCATCCTTGGTGACAGGATCTGCGGAGTCTGCTTCTCAGCCATAAAAAGGCCAAGCAACAGCTTGTGATCCGTGAAAACTGTAAAGGGTCGCCCATATAAGAAGTCATGGAACTTCTTAATTCCTGCAATAGCAAGACTTTATTTGTCAATCTGAGCATAGTTCCTCTCAGTTGGTGATAACGTCCTAGAGTAATAAGCAATAGGGGCTTCACAACCATCTGGCATTTGATGGCTTAACATTGCCCCAATGCCATAAGGTGAGGCATCGCAAGCTAATGTCACTGGCAGTTTCTTGTTAAAGTAAGCCAATACAGAGCTCGAAGATAGCAGTGATTTCACTGCTCTGAATGCCTTGTTGTGGTTGTTTGTCCACCCCCAAGGTGCTTTTTTGTCTAGCAGATGGCGGAGTGGTTCTGCCAATGCTGCTCTGTGTGGCAAAAACGAATGGTAAAAGTTTAATAGTCCTAAGAATGCCTGCAGCTTCCCCTTGGATTTAGATCTTGGGGCTTGTTGAATGGCTTTGAGCTTAGCATCAGATGGATGGGTTCCAGCAGCGTCTATCCAGAATCCAAAGAACTCAGTCCTTTTTTAACATTAACCCCTCCTCACAGAACCTTTGAAGCACTGCCCTGAGATGTTCAGCTAGGACTGCCACTGATTCTCCTGCAATCAGGATGTCATCAAAATAGGGGCAGATGCCAGGTATGTTTTTTAGTGTCCGTTCCATAATACTTTGGTACAAGCCGGGAGTTACACTTACCCCAAACTGCAGGTGGCGTACTCAGAATGCCCCTCTGTGGATGATGATGGTCTGCACTTCTGCAGTGGCATTGTCAACTGACAGTTATTGGTATGCTTGTGTGAGGTCTAGTTTGGCAAACAGGTGACCTCCTTGGAGCGAGGGAAGAATATGACTTACCACTAGAACTGGGTAAGTGTGTTGCTGTAATGCCCTGTTGATTGTGCACTTATGGTCTGCACAGATGCGGATGTCCCCATTAGGCTTCACTGGGATCACTATGGGAGTCTCCCACAGGCTACTGTCCACGGGTTGGAGCACTCCCTGTTGCACTAGTTTGTCCAGCTCCGCATCAATCTTTGATTTTAAAGCAAAGGGCACTCTGCGCAGTTTGATTCTAATTGGAGTGATTGCCAGGTCAAGATTTAGGGAAATGGGCACCCCTTTGTATTATCCTAAGTCAGAACTGAACACATCAGCATACTCTTGGCATACTGCTGCCAGGTCAGCTGCTTGTGTGCAATGGATGCCCATTACACGAATGCCCAGGGCTTTGAACCAGTCCAATCCAATGAGACTGGTGCACTGTCCATCGACAACTACCATGCTGAAGGGACCTCAAACTCTTTGAATTTGACCTTTACATTGGCCTAACAGACATACAGCAATTTTGAAACGCAGTCAGGATAAGGCTTGATGGTTTAAGTTGAATTCGCCTCTTGCCTTGTCTACAAATATAATCAAAAGTCTTGTATGAAATGATTGATAGAGCTAACCCAGTGATTAGCTCCATAGAACAGGGGATCCCTTGAATTTTAACTTGGAGTCTCAACTTCTCTTTGAGGGGGTGTTGGGCTCCCATTCGATGAATGCTTCTCCTCCCTGAGCAATATCCAACCCTGTTCTGTCCCGGGGTCCATTTACCTTTCTGAGGTACGTTTGCAGTGCTAGTGTCAGAATCCAATTATATTTCTAGTTATCAATTATAGAAAACCTCATTTCTGCCCTCTCTGGATTCTGTCATACTACAAAGGGGAAAGGGGATGAGCAAAGGGGTTTTATGGCTCTCACTCCCTTCATTAAAACTTCAAAGGGACTGAATGTGGATCTCACCAAGAGGACTGACCATAACAATATGGCCATCAGCTTTCATCTACTACTCTCTGAAGTCTCCCGTCCGCCGGCTATGAGAAAAAAGGGGGTGGAAATGTGATGCCTGGGATTGTCGCTGGAAGGATGGTTGGGAACACTTAAAGCCTTGAATGGTAGGGATTGGGCCTTAGGTCCTGTCTAGAATGCCTGCAACCATCTTCTCTTAATAAAGATGCCTGTTGGAAGAAATATTCCAAGAGTTCTGTCTTCTTAAGATGCAAAGTGGGGTGGGTCCTTATATTAGACAGGACTTGCAAAATTAATCCATCTGGAAGGGAGACCCTTGCCAGGGGATTTTGCAAAAAATTACCATGTCAGACAATGGAGCAACAAAGGGGGAAAACTCCCTGGAAAGCGAGCCACTGCCCCGACTGGAACCTTGCCGGATGTTAGGATCCAAGAGGTCAGATTCCTCAGGAGAAGAAGTGGGGGAGACATGGGACCACAAGCCTCGCTGGTCAATGGGCGTTGGAAAGAAAAGCGAGTGGGGAAAGGAATCAAGAAAGGTGACCCTGAGACGGGGGGCCAATCAATCAGAATGGAAGCAGGAGATGGAGAAATCCCTGCACGCAAGTGAAGAGAGAGAAAGCTGGGCACCGTACCTAGACTGGATCCTAGAGAAAGCTATTGACCTGATGAAGAGAACCCTCAGCTCCCTAGGAGAGGAGAATTCTGAGCCCTATGGCCGCCCCAGCTCCTGGAGCCACAACGGGAAAGACACCGAGGGAGAAGTGGGACCTACAGCCCAGGGGACA